GAGGCAGGAGGATCGCTTGAGCCCAGGAGTTGGAGGTTGCAGTGAGCTATGACAATGTCATTGCACTGTAGCCTGGGCAACAGAACAAGACCCTGTCACACACACAAACAATTGGAAAAGTCATCTGTGGCTTTGACTGCCACATTGAACAGCACAAGCAGGAGCTACAGAGCGGAGCAGGAGAGCCGCAGGCCTGGCTGGGGAGGGAGGCCTGGCTGTCGCTGGGAGAACAGACCACGGGGCTCGCTGGGGTCAGAGGGCCTGTTCATGTAAGGACAGAGCGTCCAGAAAAGAAAAAAAATCAACCAATCTGTGTATCTTGAATGCCTGGGAGAGCCTATTTCTGACGTCCATTGTGCTGATTAAGAAGCCACTTATTTCAGCCAGGGAAAGCCATGTCTGACATTCTTTATGCGGACGTAACAAAGCCTCTGGTGTCCATGCAAGATAAGGACAGCTGCAGCATTTGTAGTGCAGCCTTTTCTGCTAAAACGCCAGCTGACAGCCCTGGGCTAAGGATTCCTCAATAGCCCAACCGCACACAGCTGGGGCCAGGGCACAATCCACACCACCCCGCTACGTCTCCTTTACAGCAGTGTCACCCGAGTCACGCACAGATACCGTGCTGCCGGTGCAGGAATATTTGGAAGTAAATTACAGACTCTAAAACAGTGCTCTGTAAATGTTTGTTGAATGAATGAATGAATGGTTGAATGAAGCAGTTAGAATTCTGGGGGTTGCAAGTGACAGAAATGCGTTCAACCTTCCTAAATCCATGGGCAATAGAAGGATGATTGTCACAAGGATGGTACACGTTCGGGGGGCTGGGCATGGGGGTCCATCACAGCACCCAAGGGTGGGAAGCAGCTTGGCCTGAGGTTTTGTCCCTACCCCAAGATCACCTGCGTGTTCTTCCCTCTCTCTTTGCCACTGGGGATCACCGGGCCTCCCTGACCCCGGGGAAAGCAGGGCTGCCCTCAAAGACCCCCTGGCAGAACTTGACTTTGTGAGTCCTGATTCCCCAGGTGGGGGTTGGGAGACTCAGTTTCCCTGCAGGGCAAGTGTCTGCTCAATTCGTTCCTTTATTCCTTCTTTGCTAGCTGTGGACAGTGGTGCTAGGAGCCAGCCGTGGAAGCCTGGGGGTGGAGGGGACAGTTCTCTAAAAAGGGAGGTCTTTTCTGAGTGGGACGGACACCCCAGAACATTCCCCAGTGGCTGAGGGGTGCGTGTTGACAGGGGAAGAAGGGGCGTGAGCTGCACCCCCCCAGCCCAGAGCCTCTTACCGCCTTGTCCCCCTGTCCCCTCCCCACGCTCAGAGAAGATCTTCTCGGACGTGACTCCCAAGTGTGAGAAATGTCAGAGCGTGGTGAAGCCTGGTGAGCCTGGGGGCCAGGGACCTGTCGGGGTGACTTGGGTGGGCACCCCCTTCCTCCCACTGACCCCTTCCCGAAGGCCATGCTTCCCCCGGACCTCTGGCCACCTCTATCTCCCTGCCCAGTGCCCTACATCTGTCCCAGGAGAGCAGGGTTCTGTCCCCCTGGCCGGTCCCTGCTGCTCCCCGACTCCCACCCCGACCCTCAGGTTCAGCCTCTGCTCCTGCCTGTTCTCTCTGTCTCCCCATGTCACTGTCGTGTTCTGTTTCTCTGTCTGTCCATCTGTCTCCGCCTCAGACATCATCTTTTTCGGCGAGAACCTCCCAGCGCGCTTCTTCTCCTGCATGCAGTCAGTAAGTGCTGGGGCGGCAGGGCCAGCCCCGATGGGGAGGGGCAGGCGGCCCGGCCTGCGTGGAGGGTCCCGGAGCCCTCACTGGCTGCTGTCCCCTTCCCCCCCCCCACAGGACTTCCAGAAGGCGGACCTCCTCATCATCATGGGCACCTCCCTGCAGGTGCAGCCCTTTGCGTCCCTCATCAGCAAGTAGGTCGGGGCGGGCCGTGGGGGCGGCTGGGGACTGGGGGAGCCGGCAAGGGCGCCGCCCACTGAGCCGGCCGTCCCCCCAGGGCACCCCTCTCCACCCCGCGCCTGCTCATCAACAAGGAGAAGACCGGCCAGGTGAGCCCCACTCACACCGGGTCCTCCCTGCCCTCCCACCAGCCTCCTCGGGAAGCAGGGGACAGGCCTCCGAGAGTCCCCACTGGAGCCCCCCGCCCTTTGGGCTCCTCGGCTCAGACCCAGGGACTCTAGAATCCTCCGCCTGTCAGCTCTTTGTCCCTTTGTCCAGGGATGCCTGCTGGGGAGAGTGCCCTGCTGGGGAGGGCTGTTCCCTGGAGGGGACACAGGCACTGACGCCAGACGGGCAGAAACAGCGTGGACCAGTGCTGTCCCCAGCATTTACGTGTGTTAACTCGCTGACGCCACAGCCCTGTCAAGGGGTCCCTGATTAGCCCCCTTCTACAGATAAGGAAACTGAGGCACAGAGAAGCCAAAGTCACTTGACCAGAGTCACAAAGCTGGGATACAAAGCCAGGTCACCCAGCTCCAGGGTCTGTGCTCTTAGCTCTCCCCTCCCCCCTGCAGAGGGACCCTTTCCTAGGAATGATGCTGGGCCTGGGAGGCAGCATGGACTTTGACTCCAAGAAGGCCTACAGGTGAGGCTGGGCCTGGGGCGGGGCAGGAGGGAGGGGACAAAGGCACAGCTGGCAGGGGCCTCAGGCCAGCCTGGGCGCTCTGACTCTCCTGCCACACTGCAGGGACGTGGCCTGGCTGGGTGACTGTGACCAAGGCTGCCTGGCCCTCGCCGACCTGCTCGGATGGAAGGTGAGGAGCTGGGTGGCCCCAGCCTATCCCGAGCCCAGTCCCTGGACCCTACTTCCGCCCTGTGGGTCCTCTGACGCCATGATGTATGGTGACCTCTGACCTCTGTGAACTTTGCCCCCGCAGAAGGAGCTGGAAGACCTTGTCCGGAAGGAGCATGCCAGAATAGATGCCCAGTCAGGGTCAGGGGCCCCCAACCCCACCACTTCGACTTCCCAGAGGAAGTCCCCACCGCCTGCCAAGGAGGCGGCCAAGGCCACCACAGAAGGGGAGAAACCCCAGTGACAGCTGTGCCTCCCAGGAAGGACACCCAGCTCCTCGGGGACAGCTGAGCCCCCACCAACCCTGGCCCCCCTAACCTGCAGCGCTTATCTGGGGCACTCAGAACATCCCCCATCCCTTAACTGCTCCCTCCCAAATCTGGGGTCCCAGCCGTCCCCACCCCACCTTAGCCAGTCTCTAACATCTAGATGCCAAGTCTCGATCGGCCCATCTCTAACAGCCCACGGTCTCTAACCACTCCAGGGGGAAGGAGAAACCGCCCTAATTTCTAACTGTCCCCAGGGGGCCCCAAAACAGCTAACTATCCCAGGACAGGGAGCTGGGAGCCCCCCACTCTCGCTATTGCTACCAGGGCCTCTGGCCAAACGTACCAATTCTAACCCCCCCGGGTGGGGCCTCCACGTGCAACTCACACCCGGCGGGGAGGGGCGGTCTCAGCTTGAAGGGCTCCCTAGTCTCTGCCTCCAACTCCAAGTGGGTGCTGGGCCCCTCCACTTGGGCCCCGCTTCCCACGTGGGGAGGCCAGAAGACATCGCTTTTTGGAGACAAATTAAAAAGAAAACCACTCACTGGCGTCTGTTCGTTTCTTTACGCAGCTGGGGGCAGATCTAGAGGCCACTGATCTTGGAGGCTAGATCTTGGGCCACTGAAAAAACCAGAACATCTCCTGGCCCTTAGGAGAAACACAGGGAAGGGTGGTGGAAGGGGACCCCAGGGGGTGTATAGGACCTCATGGCTCTGAGCCCTGGCCCCCCAGCCTGCCTGGGTCCCTCCCTCCAAAGCCCAGTCTCTCTTTTTTTTTTTTTTTTTTTTTTTTGAGGCAGAGTCTCACTTTGTTGCCCAGGCTAGAGTAAGTGCTGTGGCATCAGCCTAGCTCACAGCAACCTCAATCTCCTGGGCTCAAGCCATCCTCCTGCCTCAGCCTCCCGAGTAGCTGGGACTACAGGCATGTGCCACCATGCCCAGCTAACTTTTTTGTATATATATTTTTAGTTGGTCAATTAACTTCTTTCTATTTTTAGTAGAGACAGGGTCTCACTCAGGCTAGTTTCGAACTCCTGACCCCGAGCGATCCTCCCGCCTCGACCTCCCAGAGTTCTAGGATTACAGGCGTGAGCCACCTCGCCCGGCCTAAAGCCCAGACTCTTAAGGCCTGAGCCCCCAGAGAGAGGAAGGTTGACTTCAGACACCTCCAGCCCCGCCTCTTCCCCCTGCCCGCTCAGCTTCCTCTCTGCGAGGAACACTTTCACTTCCTGCTACTCCAGGCCTCCCCGCGGAGAACAGGTAAGGCCCCTAGGGACCGAGCATTGGCACACTTGTCCCTCCCCCCACCCCAGTATTCCCCATGGTACCAGGCAGCTGCGCCCAGCCCTGCCCGGCACCACCCACATCCTCCTCCCCTCCCTCGGGACCCAGGTGGGCATCTGCCTCTCTGTCCCTACTCCCCCTTCCTGCCCTCCCACCCCACCCCAGACAGGGCACCTGCCCCCTGCCCTCCTAATGCCTTGGGTTTCTGGCCAGTGGGCTGATCTATTTGTTTAGCTGCTTCTTATCTACATGCTAGAATGGAAGTCCCTGGGGACAGACACCTCTGCTGCCCATCGCCCTCTCACCAGGGCCCAGGTGATAACCTACCTTTGGACTCTGTACCTAGTCAAAAGCTGGGTTTGACGGATGGATAGGTAGAGGGACACGTGTGTGATAAAGCACAAAGAGTAAAAATGCTAATGGTAGAATCTAGGTAGCGTGCATAGGATATTTTCCCTGTATAGTTCTCCCAGCTTTTCTGTGCATGTGAAAAATTTCATAATAAAATGTTGGAGGAAAAGATTCAAGGGCCCCTCCTTGGTGTGGGAAGGAAGAGGGGATGTTGCCCTACATTTGGTAAATATTTGAGTGCTAGATGACACGGCGGCTCACACCTATAATCCCAGCATTTTGGGAGGCCAAGGCGGGAGGATTGCTTCAGGGTAGAAGTTTGAGACCAGCCTGGACAACGTAGTGAGACCCTGTGTCTACAGTAAAAAACAAAATGCATGGCGTGCCTACTGTGGGCCAAGAGCCTTTCCAGGCACCGGGTTTTGGCAAGAGCAGCTGGTTCCGTTCATATGGCCTCCCTGCTTGTTAAAATCGTGAAATATTTCCTACCACTTGGTAAATTGCTCTTGTTTTGAGTCCTCTCCCCCAACCCCAGGACACACTGGCCTCTCTCTTGGGGTCCCCAGATCTCCCCAGCATCTAGGACTAAAGAGTTAACCCCTGGGACAGCAAGAGGCTCCATTCTGACTGGTCAGGTCTCTGCCATATTGGATATAAATATTCCGAACGTTACCCGCGGGTGGAGCAGCTGGGAGTCTTCTCTTCCCTGCCGGAGGCCAGACCATGGCTGCCTGGCTTCCCGCCTCCTGACGATGGCCCAGCCAGAGGACAAGGCCCCTCCAGCCCCCACCGAAGGGGAGAGGTGAGGGCTACTGGAGTGAGGTCTCTAGATCCAGAAACCCCTTCCACCCAATGCCCACCCCGACCACGGGACCCTAAACCTCACCTCTGACCTTTGGCAATGGGCTGCCCCTTCCCGCACCTTTGACCCCACCTCAGTATCCAACCAACCTCTGACCTCCTGGCCCCTGCCCACCCCAGGCTGGCCCCATCACAGGTGAATGGAGCAGGCGACACCCCTCTAGGGCTCCTCAGCAGCCCGGGGTCACTTCTTCGCCTACAGAGGACACAGGGGGTGTGGCAGGTCCCAGAGCTGCGTGCCCGGGACGCAGAGGCCCTCGTGGAGCTGTGGCCACCGGGGGTGAGTCATCACAGCTGGGGACTCGTTCTGACGCTGCCATGACATCCTGTGTCACTCAGGCCCCTGCTGGTTACTAGAGTCAAACACAACACGAAATGGGCAAACCCAAAAGGCTAGTAATGATCATTCACAAGGACTGAAAAACACAGAAATAAAAAAGTAGTTTCAGGAAGGTCTGGATCCTCAGCTTCAAACAATTTAGGGTTTCTCTTCATCCCATTTCTTGGCTTTGCTTTCAACTGTGGGGAATTTGGGCTATTTGGGGCTACAAGTAAAGAACACCTGTTCTATAGTGACTCAAACAAACAGGCATTTCTCTACCCTAACCAGAAAGGCAGCTGCTGGCGCTAGTTCCGTGGCTGCGTGCCACCAGGGCCAACTTCCCCATCGTTCTCTTGCACGTATGTCACGGGTGCCCGGGGCTGCCCAGGTCCAAGTGCATGCGTGCATTCCAGGCAGGAAGAAAGGAGGCACCCACCGGTTGCATCTGTTTCTTTTACCAGGAGATGGAAAAGCCTTCACAATTAATTCAGAATATATAGGTGGGGCCAGGGTAGCAATATCTTTACAAGCTCCCTTTGGAGCTGAGAACCACTACATATATCAAGCATTATTCATCTCCCCTGCCTTGAACAAGAAGTTCTGCAACGAATCTTGGCTAGATCTGCAGAGGACAGCTAACAGGGTCTACCAGAGCTTCTTCCTCAGGAGAGCATTGTCCTTGTGGCAGCAAAAATGGCCGTCCCCAGCTCAGGGCTACATCCTATCAGCTTAGCAACACACCTGTAACAAGAGACCTCTTCCCAAAGAGCTCCAGCAAAAATCCTGTGGAAGACGTCCATTGGCTGGGCATGGATCACATGTCCATCCCTGAACCAAACAGTGGGCCGAGGACACATCCTATTGGCTAGATCAGGTCATGGGCCCACCCCTAGGGCTTGTGGGAAATCAGTCCCACTCACAAGCACTGAGAGTAGGGAGAGGGTTTCCCTAAAGGAAATTTGGGGTGTGGAACCCAAAATAAGGGAAGTAGATGCTATGCAGGCAAAAGTGACAGACACCTGCACGCACACCCCTTCATGAAGCTGACCTTTGCCTCCATCCCCCCAGAGTTTCCTGGTCACAGGATGTGACCCCAGCCACTTCTTGGTGTTGAGGACAGGACCTTTGCCAGGGGAAGTCAACAGCTACCAGATCCAGAAGTTTCCTGGAGGTGAGGCCCCTCCCCCTGAGTTTCCAGTCCACAGTAAATTTATGGGCAAGGACTGTCAGCTTTCTTTCCAAAATATCTCCTGCATTTTCCCAATCCTGTCTGCCTCCATCACCCTAGCCTGAGCCACCATGACCTCTTGCCTAGACAACTGCAGTAGCCTGCCCTTTCTTCCCTGCTCCTGTCCTTTCCTTCTTGCGATCCACTCTGAGCACAGATTTTCAATCATCAGTTGGATATGATATGCCCCAGTCCCTTTCAATCACTCCGTTTCATTCATAGCATTCAACACAATATATGCTGATCTCTATTTGTGTACTAATTTATTTTCTGTCTCTCCTCCCTCCCCCAAAACAATAAGCTACAGGAAGGCAGTGAACTTGTCTGCCTTTTTTTTTTTTTTTTTTTTTGAGACAGAGTCTCACTTTGTTGCCCAGGCTAGAGTGAGTGCCATGGCGTCAGCCTAGCTCACAGCAACCTCAAACTCCTGGGCTCAAGCAATCCTCCTGCCTCAGCCTCCCGAGTAGCTGGGACTACAGGCATGCGCCACCATGCCCGGCTAATTTTTTTCTATATCTATTAGTTGGCCAATTAATTTCTTTCTGTTTATAGTAGAAACGGGGTTTCGCTCTTGCTCAGGCTGGTTTCGAACTCCTGACCCCGAGCAATCCGCCCACCTCGGCCTCCCAGAGTGCTAGGATTACAGGCATGAGGCACCGCGCCCGGCCTTTGCCTTTTAACAACTGTATTCCCAGTGCCTGGAAATGAATAAGTGCTCAATAAACATTTATTTAATGAATGAATCCGATTTGGTGGCATAAGTGGGATGCAAGGGTAAAGACATATGAAAAGATGGGATGGGTGGAAACTCCCCTGTTCTGAAAGTCCCCTGGGGGGGGGGTTAGGAATGGAGAAGAGAGAGTCTCAGGGGAGAGAAGGCTGTCACCCACTAAGTTTTGTTTTTGATTCTTCCTTGTCCCCTCCCCCAGGTATGTCCCTGAAATCTTCCAACCTCTGTATGCCAGACCTGCCCCATCTCCTGGCCTTCCTATCAGCCAGCAGGTACAGGTCACCTATTAAAGGTGCTCAAGGGGACCCTTCCCTAAGACACTCTACCCACACTATGGCTTCCGCTTATCTATTCTCAGGGACGTTTTGCCCAGAACGCTGCTCTTGCCCCCTCCCACTCTGGGGCCAGGACATGAACACACAGGTGAGGCGAGGTTCTCCGAAGGAGGGAGAGGCCAACGTGCCAGCCTCCCCGGTCCAGGGGAATGGGACTTGAGGGGCTGGGGGCCAAGTCTCAGCGCCCACAGCCACGAGGCTGGGGATTAGGTCTCCTGGTGCCCTGAAGGGACCAGGGCTGGTCCCTTGGACACCAGGGACAACTTCTCACTTTTGCTGGCCTCAGATTCTCTGCAGACTGGCGGGGTCCAACCGGACTCCTCAAGGAGGGTGCTTTCCGTGGTCAACCGGCTCTACCTGGACACCCACGGAGCCTGGGGTACAGGGCAGACCCCCAAAGCAACGGAGCCAGAGCCGGCCCAGGCACCGGAGCCAGGTTAGCTGGGAGAGGCCCTGGGCCCTGAGGGCTGGGGGAGCCGCTGCCCCGTCCTCAGGGACCCATCCCGCTCCTCACACCAGCCCCCAGGAGCGCCGCCCCTCACAGGGTCTCCTGGGTGGAGGGCCGGCTCAGCCCGGAAGCGCGCCAGCCCGGCCCGGCGCTGGCCAGCTTGGTGGAGGAGGACGAGGACCGGGACAGTGACGACTACAAAGATACGGAGGAAGACCCCGAGGATGAGCTGACCGTCCACGTCCAGGCCCTGGCCAGGGCCCGCAGCAGCTACGTGGGCCGGCAGTACCGCAGCCTCCGGGCGCGCCTCACCTCCCATTCCGCGGGTCCCCACCGGCCCGGGGACCCAGCCATCGAGCTGCTGCAGGATGTGCGGCAGCTCCTCACCGACCTCCAGGATCACTTGGCGAAGGACCCCAACGTCAGGGCTGTCTTTGGGAGCAGGCGGCCTGGGGTGCCCCAGAAGGAGGAGGATCTGGGTAATGCCGACTGCGAGGGCCACCCGGGTTCAGGGCGCCACCGCTTGGGTTCAGGGCGCCACCGCTTGGGTTCAGGGCGCCACCGCTTGGCCCTGCGCGCGTGTTCTCAGCCGACATCCTCCTCTCCGCCGTGCACGCGTTTCCCTTTCCAATCACAGCCCTCTCCTACACGTGCCACTCCCCTGTCACACGTGTGCCGACAGAGACACACCCCCTGTCCCTCGCGCAAGTTCACACCCGGGCTCCCGCTTCCACACGTGTTCACACCCATGTCTACACTGTGGGCGACCTTCAGAAGCTAGGGAGGGGTGGTCTGCCAGGGCGGCTCAGACTGGGGCCCTGCCCTCACCGGTTCCCCTACCCCCCCCCCCGCAGGCCCCGCGGTGGAGGCGGCTGTGTGCAGGGCCGTGCTGGCGCCCCTGAAGCCGGCCCTGTGGACGCGACTCCGCACGCTCCGCGTCCGGGAGCTGCGGCAACTGCGGCGGCGACAGATAGCCCTGCGGGTGGGGGCGGGGCCTGAGGGGCAGAACCCGGCCCCCGCCCTGCGGAGCCGCATCCACGCGCGCCTCGCTCACCTCCACGCCGCCTGCGCCCCGCGCCGCAAGGTGGCGCTCCTGCTGGCGGTGTGCAGTGACGTCTACGCGGGCCTGGCTCGGGGTGAAAACCAGGGTAAAGGAGGGGCCGGCGTCTACCTGGGTGGGGAGTGGCTAGAGGGTTGGGGGAGCGAGGTAGGAGGTGTCTATGCGCACGTCGGGGGACAGGGCAGCATGCTCTAGTGGGAGGCGTCTACGCGGTCTAGAAGATTCTGGCAGGAGGCGTTTGTAAGCGGGACAGCTGGACGGGCAGCCAGCCCGCGCGGTCCTGGGGATCGGATGGCAGGTGTCTGCGCGCCCCCACCCACCTCAGGACCCGTCCCCCGGCTCCCCCAGAGCCCCTGGGGGCCGACGCCTTCCTGCCCGCGCTGACGGAGGAGCTGGTCTGGAGTCCGCACATCGGGGAGACGCAGCTGGACGTGGAGTTTCTCATGGAGCTCTTGGACCCGGACGAGCTGCGCGGAGAGGGTGAGCCCCCACCTCCAGAACGCTGGGACCCGGCCGGGGGCGCCCCAGGGTCCCCAAAGCCCCAGACAGCAGCCTTCCTGGCAGCAGGAGCGAAGGCAGGCGCGCTGCAGGGGACTTCGGGCGACCAGGGAAGCCAGGGTGGCCACGCTGACCTCCCCTTGTTGCCCCCAGCCGGGTACTACCTGACCACGTGGTTTGGGGCGCTGCACCACATTGCCCACTACCAGCCCGACGTGGGGCGCGCGCCCCAGGGGCTCAGTTCCGAGGCCCGCGACTCCCTGCGCCAGTGGCACCGCAGGCGGACGCTGCACCGACAGGACCGCCCCGGAGCCCAGGTGACCGCCCATCCAGCTGCAGATGCAGGGGAAGGTGCGACCTGCTGCCCTTCTGACCCAGCCTCCCCCCTCCCCCCACAGGCCGATCTGCCCTTTGAGGAGCCCTGGGCGGTGGGGACTGTGGCGGGGCCCACGCATGATTAGGGGCCTCAAACCCCTCTGCTCCTCAAGCAAGACGCGGGAGGCAGCTGGGACCGCACCTGGAACCACACCGAGTCCTGACCCGGTTTACGGGCAGCGAGGAGGAGGAGGAGGCCCCAGGAAAAGGGAAGGGCGCACCTCTGGGCCTTTGCACTGGCTGTTCCTGCCCCCTGGAATGCCCTTCCCGAATACCCCCTCTGCTCCCTCTCCCGCCCCTCCGTCAGGTCTTAGCACGGATGTCACACCCCTGTCTAAAACTGCAACTCCTCTCACTTGACTCTCCCCGAGGTGGCCAGAATAGTGTCCCCCCAAAGATGTCCCTGTCCTGATCCCCAGAATCTGATTTTACTTTACACGCTCAAAGGGACTTTGCAGGCCCGGTTCCTGTTGCAGGGGGGTTATGCCCTGCGTGGGGTTGCAGGCAGTCAGGAGGTCAGAGCTGGAGAAGGAGGAGTGGCCATGCAGGTAGGGTGGCAGTGACAGGACCAAGAGCCAAGAGACTCAGACACCCTTGAGGCTCAAAAATAGGAAGGGATTTTCCCCTGGAGTCTCCAGAAGGAACTCAACCTTTGATTTTAGACTTGTGACCTCAAAAATGACTGTAAGATAATACATTTGTGTTTTCTAAGGCTCTAAGGTTATGGCAATTTGTTATAGCAGCAATAAACTAATACCCTTCTTTATCCTGATCTTCATTTTTTTCCCATAGAATGTATCACTTCCTAACACACTATATGCCTAGCTATTGTCTTTTTTTTTTTTTCTTCTTTTGAGAAAGAGTCTCGCTTTGTTGCCCAGGCTAGAGTGAGTGCCTTGGCATCAGCCTAGCTCATAGCAACCTCAAACTCCTGGGCTCAAGCGATCCTCCTGCCTCAGCCTCCCGAGTAGCTGGGACTACAGGCATGCGCCACCATGCCTGGCTGATTTTTCTATATATATTAGCTGGCCAATTACTTTCTTTCTATTTATAGTAAAGATGGGGTCTCGCTCTTGCTCAGGCTGGTTTCGAACTCCTGACCTCGAGCAATCCACCCGCCTCTGCCTCCCAGAGTGCTAGGATTACAGGCGTGAGCCACCGCTCCCAGCCTAGCTATTGTCTTAATTATGCATAGTCTTCACCCCTCTTAGAACAGCGTTGTCCAACAGAAATACAAAGAAAGCTATATATGCGATTCTAAATTTTCCAGTAATTACATTTAAAAAAACTAAAAAGGAACAAATGAAATTAGCTTTAATAATAATATCTTGAGGCTGGGCGAGGTGGCTCACACTTGTAATCTTAGCACTCTGGGAGGCCTCACACTTGTAATCCTAACACTCTGGGAGGCTGAGGAGGGAGGAAGAGGGAGGATCACCCAAGGTCTGGAGTTAAAAACCAGCCTGAGCAAGAGCAAGACCCCGTCTCTACTGAAAAATAGAAATTAATTGGCCAATTAAAAACATACAGAAAAAGTTGCCGGGCATGGTGGCGCATGCCTGTAGTCCCAGCTACTTGGGAGGCTGAGGCAGGAGGATCGCTTGAGCCCAGGAATTTGAGGTTGCTGTGAGCTAGGCTGACGCCAGGGCACTCTACTCAAAAAAGTCAGACTCTGACTCAAAAAAGAAAATAATAATAATAATAATATCTTTGATTTAACCCATTCTGTCCCATATATTATCATTTTAACGTGTAATCAGCAATAAAAAATTATCAAGATATTTAATACTTTTTCTGGGAATGTGTACTAAATCTTTGAAATCTAGTGTGTAGTTTACACCTGAGCATGCCTCAGCTTGGATTAGCCACACTTCAAGTGCTCAGTAGCTACTCGGGGTTGATAGCTGCTACTTTGGACGGTGCAGCCTGAGCATGCCAGCTCCTAGAGGCTGGGTCTCTTGTGTTGGTAGCTGTATCCTCAGTGCCTGCACAAGGAGCTGGCACATAGTAGGTCTTCAATAAGGACTTGCTGAAGGAATCAATGAACAAGGTTTCTGTAGCAGGCTGAAAAACAGCTCCCTGAAAGATACCCGCGTCCTGATCTCTGAAATCCATGAATGTTACCTTATTTGGAAAAAAGGTCTTTTGCACGTGTTATTAAGTTCAAGGTCTTAAAATGGAGAGATTATGCTAGATTATACATATGGACTCCAAATGGAATCACACCTATCTTTTTTTTTTTTTTTTTTTGGAGACAGAGTCTCACTCTATATTGCTCAGACTATAGTGCCATGGCGTCATCATAGCTCACTGCAGCCTAAAACTCCTGGGCTCAAGTGATCTTCCTGCCTCGGCCTCCCAAGTAGCTGGGACTATAAGCACATGTCACCATGTTCAGCTAAGTTTTTTGTATCTTTTGGAGAGACAGTGTCTCACTATGTTGCTCAGGCTGGTCTTGAACTCCACAGCTCAATGGCTGTGCTGGGCATTGAAGCAGGAAGCAGGGACTGGGGGAACAGTAGGACATGGCCTCTGATGTTACATTCCTACTCAACTGGGGGTGGCAGCCAAACTCCAGGAAACTAGAAGTGTCCATCTCCCCCCTCAGGGAAAAGCAGTCTCTGGGGCAAGCAGGGTGCCAAGAATTTCATTGCAATTATTTATTTATGTGTTTATGTATGTGTATATGTGATTTTTATTTCTTTTTAGACTGTGATAAAAAAAAAAACCAAAATTTAACATCTTAACCATTTTGTTAACCAATGGTTAAGAAGTTACATTTTGTTTGTTTGTTTTTTGAGACAGAGTCTCGCTCTGTTCCCTGGCTAGAGTGCTGTGGCGTCAGCCTAGCTCACAGCAACCTCAAACTCCTGGGCTCAGGCAATCCTCCTGCCTCAGCCTCCCGAATAGCTGGGACTACAGGCACAAACCATCATGCCCAGCTAATTTTTTCTATTTTCAGTAGAGACAGGGTCTCCCTCTTGCTCAGGCTGGTTTTTTTTTTTTTTTTTTTTTTTTGAGACAGAGTCTCTCTTTGTTGCCCAAGCTAGAGTGAGTGCCATGGCGCCAGCCTAGCTCACAGCAACCTCAAACAACTGGGCTCAAGCAATTCTGCTGCCTCAGCCTCCTGAGTAGCTGGGACTACAGGCATGCGCCACCATGCCCCGCTAATTTTTTCTATATATATTAGTTGGCCAATTAATTTCTTTCTATTTAGAGACAGGGTCTCACTCTTGCTCAGGCTGGTTTTGAACTCCTGAGCTCAAGCAATCCGCCCGCCCCAGCCTCCCAGAGTGCTAGGATTACAGGCGTGAGCCACCGCTGGTCTTGAACTCCTGAGTTCAAGGGATCCTCCTGCCTCTGCCTCCCAGAGTGTTAGAATCACGGGCATGAGCTACTGTGCACAGCCATCTTAACCATTTCTTAAAAATTAATTTTAATTTTTTGAAAAACCCGATTAATGGTTTGTAAGGCATGACTTACCAGGCCTCTTAGAAAGAATTTGAGCCAGAGAAAAAGAAGGTCAGAGTTTAATCTTCAGCCAGTAACAGGAGGTGACTGCCAAATCTCCCTGCAAAGGGGCCTTTTTGCCTTCGAATTATTACGTCATCTGTGGGTGGCACCTTGAGACCCTGTGAATAACCTGTTCCCCAACAACTTTGCACTCGGTGCTTTTAGCACCTCTTCTTGATTACTGCTGAATCATTGGATTTATTTATACTATTATATCCTATTTATGGCAATTGACGCTGGTTTTCCACTTCCTGGAGTTTAATGACATTTCCTGTTTAAATAAATGTGTTGAATGTTTTTCAAAAAGAGTTGATTTAAAGAAAACTGTTAAGCAGTTCGGTGTACAGGTGACCCATGGATGTGTGGCAAAATGTGGAAGGGGAGCGACAAAGGCAGACGCGTGGGGTATCACTGGCTTAGGCTTAGGGCCAGACTCAGGCTCCTGTTTGCCCTGGAGCTCTGGGCTTTATGCTGGACGCCTCCTCTTGGGCTCTCACGCCCATCCTCTGCCATACTAGCCACAGTGTCACCCCTAAACCTGCTCCTCTTTCCCGTCCCCATCTCAGGTGTCCTTGTGAGTCCCCAGTTCCCCAGGCCACAGCCCCGGGCCTAGCCTGGGACGCCTCCCTCTCTCCCCTCCCGCAGCACACCAGCCCCATGGCCTGTCCACTCTGTTCCTGGGCATCCTTGTCCCACCCTCCCACTGCCCCCTCCACAGCCCCTCCCTGGTCCAGCCCCAGCCTTCCTCACTCTTGGCCACCAGTCTTGGGGCCACTTCCAATTCCAGTCAACAGGGCAGCCAGAGGGATTTTTTTTTTTTTTTGAGATAGGGTCTCACTGTGTTGCCCAGGCTAGAGTGAGTGCCATGTCGTCAGCCTAGCTCACAGCAACCTCAAACTCCTGGGCTCAAGCAATCTTACTGCCTCAGCCTCCCGAGTAGCTGGGACTACAGGCATGCGCCACCATGCCCGGCTAATTTTTTCTATATATATATATATTAGTTGGCCAATTAATTTCTTTCTATTTATAGTAGAAACAGGGGTCACGCTCTTGTTCAGGCTGGTTTAGAACTCCTGACCTCGAGCAATCTGCCTGCCTGGGCCTCCCAGAGTGCTAAGATTACAGGTGTGAGCCACCGCCCCGGCCGGAGGGAAATTTTTAAAACAGATTGGTAGGTTCACCTCTCAGGCCAGAACTTGGGTTTGTAAGAAATTCAATGTTATTGTTTATTAATCAATTTCTGGGTTGACCCTTTGTCCCACCATAGTGGGAGGGAATTTAACCTGCTCCTTTTTAACCCCATAAGGTTGTGACATGCATCCTGGATTGTCATAGGGCCTTTTCACAGAAGTCACCTGAAGGCAATCTCTCCTGCTGTCTCACGGCCTCTTCTCATCCTGAAGTGTCGCCTCAGCTCTAACTCAAGCCAGTGGTCACCCCACTCCGTCTGACACCCCTCCCCAGGTGTCTGACACCCCTCCCCAGGTGTCTGACACCCCTCCCCAGGTGTCTCACTCCCTGCTTCGGTCAGGTTTCTGCCCAGGTGTTGGCTACTTTATTATTCCTTTAAAAGTACAACTCCCTTCCTGATTTATTTATTTATTTACTTATTTATTTTGAGACAGAGTCTCACTTTGTTGCCCAGTGCCCTGGCGTCAGCCTAGCTCACAGCAACCTCAAACTCCTGGACTCAAGCGATCCTCCTGCCTCAGCCTCCCGAGTAGCTGGGACTACAGGCATGTGCCTCCATGCCCGGCTACTTTTTTCTATATATATTAGTTGGCCAATTAATTTGTTTCTATTTATAGTATAGACGGTGGTCTAGCTCTTGCTCAGGCTGGTTTCGAACTCCTCACCTGGAGCAATCCGCCCGCCTCAGTAGTTTATTTCATCTCTTTTCTGGTTGGCTCTGGTTGGTTCCTCTTACCAGCTGATTGGTTCTGGCGTTAGGGCTCTCCCTCTGCATTTTATTTCAGCATTTTACTGCAGAGTCATCTGGTGTTTGGCCCCCTCCCCCACTGTCCTGGGGCTTTTCAACCTCTTATCAGGAAATGACCTGCGGGTACCGCCTTCTGAGGCCCAGCCTGCTGAAGCCTGTCATGGCTTCACTTAAGCTATATATATTGTAAGCAAGCAAGCTGAGGGGACAGAAGCTAAACTAAGCTGTTAGCTTTGAGCTTTTCTTATAATTTCCATTTCCTACAATGGGCTCCTGGATGGGGGCTGGTCACCAGAAAGATGAACCCATGGTTAGAAGCTTAGGACTTCCCGTCCCACCCCCATTATCCCGAGAGGGGGAGAGGTGCTGGAACTGGAGTTAAGCATCACTTATGCCCACGTGAAAAACTTTAATAAAAATCCCTGAACTAGGAGTTCAGAGAGCTTCCCGGTTGTTGAACACATGGGCCCCCACAGGAGGGTGGCGTACCCCAACTCCACAGGAACAGAAGCTCCAACACTTGGGACCCTTCCACACCTTGCTCTATGTATCTCTTAATCTGTATTCTTTATTATGTCCTTTATTAATATAATGAATGAGTAAAATGTAAGTTAAGTATTTCTCTTGAGTTCTGTGAGCCATTAAATTAATTGAACCCAAGAAGGGGATTGTGGGAACCCCAAAGCCTGTTGATCAGAGCTAAAGGTTAAAACCTGGGGCATCTGATTGGCATCTGAGGTGGGGGACAGTATAGTGGGACTGAGCCCTCAGGCTGTGGGCGCTGATGCTCTCTCCAGACAGTGTCAAAGTTCAGTTAAATTATAAGACACCCAGCCAGGTGAGGTGGCTCACGCCTGTAATCCTAGCACTCTGGGAGCCCGAGGCCGGCGGATTGCTCGAGGTCAGGAGTTCAAAACCAGCCTGAGCAAGAGCGAGACCCCGTCTCTATTATAAATAGAAATACATTAATTGGCTAATTAATATATATAGAAAAAAATTAGCCCAGCATGGTGGTGCATGCCTGTAGTCCCAGGTACTTGGGAGGCTGAGGCAGGAGGATAGCTTGAGCCCAGGAGTTTGAGGTTGCTGTGAGCTAGGCTGAGGCCACAGCACTCACTCTAGCCTGGGCAACAGAGTAAGACTCTGAACAACAACAAAAAAATATTATAAGACACCCAATTGACATTGGCTGGAGAAGTGTTTAAGGAAAAACTCATACACATCTGGTGTTTCAGGTTTTTTTGGTTTTTAGAAGGAGAAAAGAAAAATAGCTCAGAGCTATTTGAGCTATGTGAGGTTTGTAAAATTTATCAGGCCCAGAGAGACAAGAATGTAGGACCTCAGCCTGCACACCTGTAATCCTAGCACTCTGGGAGGCCGAGGTGGGAGGATCGCTCAAGGTCATTTCTTCCGAACTAGCAGCCTCACAAATTATCTTCTGGTTCCTGGAATTTGTGATACAAAGAACAATGTTTAGCCAATCACTAGCTTGTTATTTTAATGTAAATTACTGGCAACCGATTTGGGAACTGCCCCCCTTTTTTTTCCTTTAAAAATCTACTTGTACCCCCATAATATGCTTAAAAAATAAATAAATAAAAATCTATTTGTGGCCAGCCTGGTGGCTCACATCTGTAATCCTAGAACTCTGGGAGGCCCAGGTGGGAGGATTGCTCAAGGTCAGGAGTTCAAAACCAGCCTGAGGTCGGGCGCTGTGGCTTATGCCTGTAATCCTAGCTCTTGGGAGGCCAAGGCGGGCGGATTGCTCAAGGTCAGGAGTTCAAAACCAGCCTGAGCAAGAGCGAGACCCCGTCTCTACTATAAATAGAAAGAAATTAATTGGCCAACTGATATATATATAAAAAAATTAGCCGGGCATGGTGGCGCATGCCTGTAGTCCCAGCTACTCGGGAGGCTGAGGCAGGAGGATTGCTTGAGCCCAGGAGTTCCAGACCAGCCTAAGCAAGAGCAAGACCCCCTCTCTACTAAAAATAGAAACAAATTAATTGGCCAACTAAAAATATATAGGAAAAATTAGCCGGGCATGGTGGCGCATGCCTGTAGTCCCAGCTACTCGGGAGGCTGAGGCAGGAGGATCGCTTGAGCCCAGGAGTTGGAGGTTGCTGTGAGCCAGGCTGACGCCATGGCACTCTAGCCTGGGCAACATAGTGAGACTCTGTCTCAAAAAAAAAAAAAAAAAAAAGATTTTATTTTAGTTCAGAAATTTGCACGTCATTCTTGCTAAAGGCCATGCTAATCTTCTCTATATTATTCCAATTTTAGAATATGTGTGGCTGAAGCAAGGGCCAAAATGGTAACTTTCATGTTATGCATATTTTGCCACAAAAAATGCAAATTCCTGGACCCCACCCTTGACTTGTTTGAACTGTTCACAGTTCTCTAGTAACTTAATGGCCCTCCTAGTAATTCTGGCCCATGTTGCACTTTGAAGAACAGGGTACATTTTGCCTATTTATTCTTGGGCTCCTCCCAGCATAGATAATGGCTAATGCTTAGTTGGGTGCAGGCCACCAACTTATGAGGTGACTGCTGCAATTATTAGCACCTCTCTCTTACAGAGTAAGAGTCTGAGAGTAGGAGATTTGCCCAAGCCACACTTCTAGTAAGTGCCGGAGCCTGGATTTGAACCCAGGCCATCTGCCTCTCACACGTGTGCTCCGATATCACTTGTGCTGACAGAGGATCTAGGTCAGACAGCAGCTCCATAAGGGTGGGAATTTCCTCTCTCTTGTTCACTGTTGCATTCTCAGTGTCTAGAACAGGGCCTGGCACAGAGTAGAACCCAATAAATACTTGTGGAATGAAGGAATGAATTAATTAAAATGAAGACTAAACTTTCAACCAGTTTTTATTATTATTATAATAAAATAAATGACTCCATGGTCCAACAACTTTGGATAATAGTTTGGCAGTCTTTTTTTTTTTTTTTTTTGAGACAAAGTCTCACTCTGTTGCCCAGGGCGAGGACAAGGACGACCTGGAGGTGTTCGGTAAGGATGCCTCATTCGTGAGGCATGATGGACATGAACTCCTTCAGCCCAATGATGCCAACATCCCCTCTATCAATGATAAACCAAATCAAGTTTGAAGATGAGCCAGATTTAAAGGATCTCTTCATCACAGTTGATGAACCTGAAAGCCATGTTACTACCATTGAAACTTTCATTACTTATAGGATTATTACTAAGACATCTCGTGGGGGAATTTGACTCCAGTGAACTTGAAGTTAGGAGACGTAATCAAGATTTCCTGGCCGGGCGCTGTGGCTCACGCCTGTAATCCTAGCTCTTGGGAGGCCGAGGCGGGCGGATTGCTCAAGGTCAGGAGTTCAAAACCAGCCTGAGCAAGAGCGAGACCCCGTCTCTACTATAAATAGAAAGAAATTAATTGGCCAACTGATATATATATAAAAAATTAGCCGGGCATGGTGGCGCATGCCTGTAGTCCCAGCTACCTGGGAGGCTGAGGCAGGAGGATTGCTTGAGCCCAGGAGTTTGAGGTTGCTGTGAGCTAGGCTGACGCCACGGCACTCACTCTAGCCTGGGCAACAAAGCAAGACTCTGTCTCAAAAAAAAAAAAAAAAAAAAAAAGATTTCCTTTGGTTGGAGGGAAAGCTGGAAGAAGCACACCCCACTCTGATTATTCCACCATTGCCAGAAAAGTTTATAGTAAAGGGAATGGTAGAACGCTTTAATGATGACTTCCTTGAGACACGCAGGAAAGGCATTACAAAAATTTTTGAACCGAATTGCTGATCATCCAACTTTAACATTTAATGAAGACTTCAAAGTTTTTCTCACTGCGCAAGCTTGGGAACTCTGGTCTCACAAGAAGCAAGGGCCTGTGTTGCTAAGCAGGATGGGGCAAACTGTTAGAGCTGTTGCATCCTCAATGAGAGGAGTTAAAAACCGCCCAGAGGAGTTCATGAAAATGAATAACTTTATTGAAATATTTAGCCAGAAAATAAATTTGATAGATAAAATATCTCAGAGAATTTACAAGGAAGAAAGAGAATATCTTGATGAAATGAAAGAATATGGCCCAATTTATATTCTGTGGTCAGCATCAGAAGATCTGGTTGATACTCTGAGAAATGTTGCCAGCTGTATTGACAGATGCTGTAAAGCCACTGAAAAATGGATGTCTGGACTCTCAGAGGCCCTGCTTCCTGTAGTACACGAGTACGTGCTTTATAGTGAAATGTTAATGAGTGTTATGAAAAGAAGAGACCAAATACAAGCAGAACTGGATTCCAAAGTTGAAGCTTTGACCTATAAAAAGGCAGATACTGATCTACTTACAGAAGAGACTGGAAAACTTGAAGACAAAGTGGAATGTGCTAATAATGCCCTGAAAGCAGATTGGGAAAGATGGAAACAAAATATGCAAAATGATATCAACTCAGCATTTACAGATATGGCTGAGGAGAATATCCACTATTATGAACAGTGCCTTGCTACGTGGGAATCATTCCTTACATCACAGACTGACCTCCAATTGGAAGAAGCCTCTGATGATAAAGCTTAATCCTGTCAAGGACTTCTGTTTGATCTTTGGGGAACAGCATCTATCAACCAAAGTTATTCTTTCAGGATCTGCTGTGTCCTTTGTAAAGTGGATGAGAAGTGTTTTTTACTATCTGGAAAACCAACAACTTGAAAACTCAGGTATTCCAGGTCATTGATATGAATTTGGAAATATATATCTATCAAATAGATTGATATATATCTATATATCAATACACAGATATATAGAGAAATTTAGCTTAGTTATAATTATGCTGTCAAATTTGTGTGCCAATAATTGCATATAGAATTTTTTTTAAATATATGACTGTGGAACATGACAGTGTTGTAAAGACTCAGTTTTAATAAAAGGTTTAGTATGAAAAAAAAAAGTTAAATATCCATGAGGTTTCTCAGATGATTCTAAAAAAGAAAAACAAACAAAAACGAAAAACCAAAAAAAAGAAGAAAAAAGTTAAATATATACCTACCAAAAATCTAGGCATGGCCAGGCGTGGTGGCACAGGCCTGAAATCCCAATACTTTGGGAGGCTGAGATGGGAGAATCACTCGAGGCCAGGAGTTCAAGAGCAGCCTGGGCAACATAGCGACACTCCACCACCTCCACAAACTATACACTTTATTTTTTATTTATTTTATTTATTTATTTATTTATTTATTTAATTTTTTATTTATTTATTTTTTTTTGAGACAGAGTCTCACTTTGTTGTCCAGGCTAGAGTGAGTGCCATGGCGTCAGCCTAGCTCACAGCAACCTCAAACTCCTGGGCTTCAGTGATCCTTCTGCCTCAGCCTCCCGAGTAGCTGGGACTACAGGCATGCGCCACCATGCCCGGCTAATTTTTTATATATATATCAGTTGGCCAATTAATTTGTTTCTATTTATAGTAGAGACGGGGTCTCGCTCTTGCTCAGGCTGGTTTCGAACTCCTGACTTGTAGCAATCTGCCTGCCTCGGCCTCCCAGAGTGCTAGGATTACAGGCGTGAGCCACTGCGCCGGGCCAACTATACACTTTAAATACGTGGGTTTCTTGTGTATCAATTACACCTGAATAAAGCTGGGGACCAGAGGGAGGGGGGAAAGTGTCACAGCTGTGTAATGCAACTGAGCAATTTTCCTCTCTAGGACTGGCTTTCCGCATTGGCCCCTAATGGCGTCTGAGTTTTCAATCTGAGGCCCAATAGACCATGAAAGTATTTCCTCCTGGAGCCTGAAGAGGCTTTTAAAAAAAAGATGAAGAAGAAAGCGGCTGTCCTAGTTCTGCTTTTGGGAGCTGCACGTTTCTCTCCTGGGACCTTGAGTCCCAGGGGCCCAATGTTTTGAATGGTAGAAGAGAAAACTGAGACTCTGCCTAGGAAGAAAAGAGCCACAGTGGATGGGAACGGGTCACCTGGCACAGGTGGGCAGGCGGAGCAGGTGAAGACGCTGGGGGCGGGGGCGGGGGAGGAGGGGGTGGCTTTGGGAGCAGGACGGTGGTTTGTTGCTGGGAGGGAGGATGGGGAAGGAGCTGCTGGAGGTTTGAGGAGCAGCTTTGATATGTCATGGGGGAGTCGGGACACCAGGGACAGGGGGCACGGTTGCTGGGCAGCACTGTGGGCCCACTGGAAGTGGGGAGGTTTGAATGACAGATGAGAGCAGTTCATGGGGGTGCACATTGTCCCCAGCCGCAGGGAGACAGGCTCGCAGTAGGTGGAGTCTTCAATTTAACAAGGATTGGGTTTTTGCCAGATGAGTATGTGGAGAGGGGGAGGTGGCAGAGAATGAGTGATGGAGTGATCATAGTAGTTGGTCAAGGAATTTGAGGCCAGGCGAGGTGGCTCACGCCTGTAATCCTAACACTCTGGAAGGCCCAGGCCGGCGGATTGCTTGAGGTCAGGAGTTCGAAACCAGCCTGAGCAAGAGCGAGACCCTGTCTCTACTATAAATAGAGAGAAATTCATTGACCAACTAATTTATATAGAAAAAATTAGCCGGGCATGGTGGCGCATGCCTGTAGTCCCAGGTACTGGGGAGGCTGAGGCAGGAGGATCGCTTGAGCCCAGGAGTTTGAGGTTGCTGTGAGCTAAGCTGACGTCACGGCACTCACTCTAGCCTGGGCAACAGAGTGAGACTCTGTCCAAAAAAAAAAAAAAAAAAGGAATGTAATCAGTGTGCAGACAGGAGGGTGCTGAGGGGTTGTGAAAAGGTGGTGGGGCCATCGGATTGTTGCAGTTGAGGTTCTGGAGGGAATGAACTAGAAAGATAGGGTACAGTGGGGCAGTGCATGAGATGCATGCAATTGAGATTCCAAAGAGGCTGAGGTTACTGAGACAGATCTACAGTTGACTGTGGGAGGGTGGGGTTGGGGGTGGGGGACAATACCATCACTGGAGGAGAGGTCAGGGGACCGAAAGGCTGGAGTGGTCAAATGATCATCCGCCTGGCCGTGGAAATCACCAAGAGTGATAACAGAAGTGGCATGAGAGGCAGGAGCCATGAGGGAGTGAGCAGCGATCACAGAGTCATGAATGGCTAAACAAAATGTGGCACCACCTAGCCATACAGGGGAATGTCATTTGACCATAGGAAGGAATGAATTATTGATACATCCTACAACACGGTGAACCTCAGGAACATGCTAAGGAGCCAGATACAAAAGGCCACACACTGTACAATACCATTTGTATGAAATGCCCAGGCTCACACCTGTAACCCTAGCACTATGGGAGGTTGAGGCGGGAGAATCCCTTGAGCTCAGGAGTTCGAGACCAGCCTGAGCAAGAGGGAGACCCCGTCTCTACTAAAAATAGAAAAACTTAGCCGGGCATGGTGGCACACGCTTGTGATCCCAGCTACTCGGGAGGCTGAGGCAGGAGGATCGCTTAAGCCCAGGAGTTGCGCTGATGCCACAGCACTCTAGCCTGGGTGACAGAGCGAGACTTCATCTCAAAAAAAAAAAAAAAAAAAAAGAGAGAGAGAGAGAAAAAGTGAAATGCCCAGAATAGGCAAATACGAACAGACAGAAAGTAGATGAGCCGTTGTCAGGGACTTAAGGGAGGTTGGTGGCTACTAAAGGGTATCGAGTTTCTTTTGAGGGTATTGAAAATGTTCCAGAATTAGACCGCGGTTAAGGTTGCACAACTTTGTAAGTGTACTAAAAACCACTCAATTGTATACTTTAAAAGAGTGAATTTCACGGTATGTGATTTAGAAATAAAGAAATAAATAAAGAAAAAAATAAATAAATAAGTAAAGATGTTATTTATTTATTTTTTAGCCTAAAAATATCTGATGTTATCACTCTGGTTTTTAAATTCAGTGAAAAGGCCAAAATCTTCATTCTCAGTGTGTCCCACTAGGGACATGCCCCATCACCTCTCTGACCCTCGACTCTTCTCATTCACCCCATGACTTGCCGGCTACTCTGGCCTGCCTTCAGTTTTCACGTCAGGGCTTTTGCATTTCTTGTTCTTCTGCCTGGAATGTTTTTTCTCCAGCTGTTCCCTTTCTTTTTTCCACGTGGACACACACGATTCACTTTCAATCAGATAAGCATAAAGTAAATGAAAATTAAAACCAGTTTTTACATCTTGGATTGACAAATGTAAAAAATTGTGCAGTGTTTTGAGATGGTGGGGGAAATATCTTTTTTATATAGTAATGCAGGGAACTCAAATTGTCACAAGTGCTAATGGAGGATAATTTGGTGACATCTTTCAAAATGCAAAATGTACCAACTTGCAATTACTTTAGCAATCACCAACAAAAAGATACACTGGGCCTGGCAGTGGCTCACACTTGTAATCTTAGCACTCTGGGAGGCCGAGGCTGGAGGATCACTTGAGGTTAGGATGCCATGGCACTCTAACCCAGACAACAAAGCAAGACTCTGTCTCCAAAAAAAAAGATACATTAAAAATACCATCTGTTTGGGGAAAATTAGAATGGAAATTCCAAAATACTGTAGGACACAGCTAAATCACATGGTAATAAGAACCAATAGGCCGGGTGCGGTGGCTCACGCCTGTAATCCTAGCACTCTGGGAAGCCGAGGCTGGCGGATCGTTGGAGGTCAGGAGTTCGAAACCAGCCTGAGCAAGAGCGAGACCCCGTCTCTACTATAAATAAAAAGAAATTAATTGGCCAACTAATACATATAGAAAAAATTAGCCGGGCATGGTGGCGCATGCCTGTAGTCCCAGCTACTCAGGAGGCTGAGGCAGCAGGATTGCTTGAGCCCAGGAGTTTGAGGTTGCTGTGAGCTAGGCTGATGCCAAAGCCACTCACTCTAGCCTTCTAGCCTGGGCAACAAAGGGAGACTCTGTCTCAAAAAAAAAAAAAAAAAAAAAAGAACCAACAGGTAGATGAATGGGGAGCCTAGATTATAATTGTGTATGGAGGCTAAGGACCCTGGAGTACTCAGGAGGTGACATTTGAGCCAAGGCCTGTCAGATGAAAAGGAGCAAATATCTGGGAGAAGAGCATCTAGGCAGGGGAACAGCCAGTGCAAAGGCCCTGAGGTAGGAAGGAGCTTTGGGCATTTAATGATCAGAAGGAAAGACGGTGTTTGTGCCATGTGCAGAACAAGTGGAAAGAGGTAGGCGTGGGTTTAGAAGGACCAGCCAGGGTTGAGGGTCGGATTAAACCTTGTGGGATGTTCAAAAGGGGAGCGATTTGCTCTTTCAGAGGCTCCAGCTTCCTGGGCCTGTTTTATTTCAATTGTAAAATGGGGGTAGGCCTCTGAGGTTCCCTCTAATTTCAGACATTTTCTGCACTCCTCATGACCACCCCATTGAAGGTGCCATGCCCCTAATGCAGGGGTCTCCAACCTATGGTGAGCTGTATAATTATTTCATTATATATTCCAATATAATAATAATGGGAATAACGTGCACAATAAATGTAATGCGCTTGAATCATCCTGAAACCATCCCCCTCTTCCCAAGTCCGTGGAAAAACTGTCTTCTATGAAAAGGGTCTGTCCCTGGTGCCAAAAAGGTTGGGGACCGCTGCCTGAGTGGATGAAGAAGCCCAAAGAGTCTAAATCACTTTCCCAGGGCCCCAGAGCTATAAAGTGCAGCGTCTATATTTGAACCCCAGAAGTTGGCCCCAGAGCACCCGCTTTTAAGGTCCATTCCGTATGACACCCCCTAACCCTAGCAGGCTCTGCAGTGCAGTGGCTATGCGTCTGCCTTGGCGACAGATCTTGCCATGCCACTTGCAAGCTACAGCATCCTGGGTTGGTCCCTTAACGTCTCCGGAGCCCATTTCCCTGTCTACACAGCGTACACCCCAACATGTGCTTCAACACAACACCAGGCCCAGCAAGAGTAAGGACGGGTGAATTCCAAACTACTGGGCGACTCTCAGTCCGGCGGGGGTGGGAGAAGGGACGCGGAGTCCGAACGCAGCGGTCGAGAGCCCTTCCACTCCTCTCTTGCCTCGTGTCCTCCACTCAGCCGCGGAGGAACTCTCGGTCCCCCCCCATCTTTTCCCCCTCGGGCTGAAAAAGGTCGTGGTCCCTTTAAGGCCCGCCCCTCCCTCTCCCAAAACTTCCCAGTGTCTGCTCTTTCCGATCCGGGACGGCCGGCCAGGCTCACCGCCGCGCTGGTAGGGCTGGGGGCGAGGGGCCGGGAGGGGCGCGGGGGTCTGGTGGGCGGCGCCGCCCGCGGCCGCGGCCCGCAGCCGGAGCGCAGGCTGAGCGGCGGCGGAGCGCGAGCGGGCACGCGCGCGGCGCCCGACGCGCGGCGCCAGGCCGGTCCCGCGCTCGGTCCGCGCCGCGCCGCGCGAGGCGTCCGGGCCGGGCGCGGGGGCGGGGAGGGGAGGGGCCCCTGCTCGCCCCCTCCCCCACCGCATTCCTCTGACGTCGGGGCCGGCGACCCCGCCCTTCCGCGGCGGCGGCCCCGCCCTCCCCGCCGCGCGGGACACGTGGTCCGGGCGCGGCGCCGCCCCCTCCCTCTTTCCGCCGGCGTTTTCGGATCTTCGTGGTGGGACCCAAAACTGACCGAGGTCCCCCATCGGACACCCCGGAGTGTACTCCCCCAAGCCAGCAGGCCCGCCAGGCGTGGCCTACTCTTTCAGTGCCACTGACCTCATTTCAAACTTAGTTTTCTGGGGGACCCCAGTCGGGATCCCCGTTTCAACCTCGGGGGCGCCCGCCGCAGTTCGCACGACGCTAGCTTGGCCTTCCCAGTGCACATCTCGCTGGAAGGCATTCCCAGGACGCCAGCGCCCCGAGGGCGGTCGTGGGTCAGCACGGCTGCCCCGCTCCCCTCCTGCAGCCCGCAGCTCCGCAGGGCGTTCCCTGCAGGGCAGTGCGGGCGCCCTACCCCGCCCTCGAGGAGGGAAGGCCCGATGGACGCACAGACCACAGGAGCGACTCCCCTTTCAGGGCGCTTGCGTTGTGCCAGGTGCAGCGCCGGGTGCTTGGCAGGCGGGCCACCCTCACCAAGGCCAAGGCAGGGACCACGGTTCCCTCGCCATGCAGAGTGGTCAGGGCTGTCACGTGAAAACCATGGCTTGAGTTACAGAGTGAAGGAACCTGGTGGTCTGGGACGGTAGGGGCCTGTGCGCCGGGATTGCAGGATCGGAGTGGAGAAAGCGCTCTAGGTGGGAGGGTCTGCACGGGCAGAGGTGGAGAGGCGCGCGAACGGTCCTTTCCCTAATAGGAATTGTGGCTGTATGCAGAGGTGGAGTGGCCGAAGGACAGGGGCGAACAGGGCAGTGTCGGAAGACAGTGGGCAGCAGCGGCGAGTAGTTTTATACTGAGGAAAAGGGTCAGATGTGGGCCATCTACTCCTCCGGCGTTGGGTAGAATAGAGGTGTAGAGGAACAGTGTATAATGATGGGGCAGAGTTGCTGTCAGTCTTGGCGTGGCTTCTCGCCACTGCACACAGCTGGTACTCAATAAGTATTCCGAGGCCCGGCACGGTGGCTCACGCCTGTAATTCTAGCACTCTGGGAGGCCCAGGCGGGAAGATTGCTCAAGGTCATGAGTTCGAAACCACTCTGAGCAAGAGCGAGACACCCTCCCCCTCTCTACTAAAAATAGAAACAAATTAATTGGCCAACTAATATATATATAGGAAAAATTAGCCGGGCATGGTGGCGCATGCCTGTAGTTCTAGCTACTCGGGAGGCTGAGGCAGGAGGATTGCCTGAGCCCAGGAGTTTGAGGTTGCTGTGAGCTAGGCTGACTCCACAGCACTCTAGCCCAGGCAACAGAGTGGGATTCTATCTCAAAGAGTGAGACTCTGTCTCAAAAAAAAGTATTCCGGGTACTGCAGGCCATCACTCCCTTAGAGGGTCGCCCCGCCTCTGGAGGAGCGTGAAAGTATATTCGCGCATGCGTTCTTGCCATCGCTCTTTTTCTAGATTGCGCCAAAGAGCGCCTACTAGGGGTGGAGCTCCCCTTTTTTACCCAATCAGAGACTATCAGTCGTCCCACCGTCTGCTGACAGGGTCCTCTTTCCACTCTCCATTGGCCAATCAATGGAGACGCAGAAGATGGGCATTTGCCGTAACCACTGGAAAGAGACAAAGGGAGAGGTTTCCTCGTCTTCTTGCGAAGTGGCGCGGGAAGGCGGTCTTTGTGACTGAGGGACTAAAGGCTTGGTTTGACGGATTAGCAAAAAAACCAATGAAAGTGGGAAGGAGGCGGGGCTTCTGAGGCGGTTTGGAGCGCCGCTCCTATCCGGTGCTCCTATAGAATACAGTGGTGCCAAAAACCCGACCTATCAAATTGGATTTTATTTTAAAGCGGCGGGGTCGACGAAATGACTGGCAGAAAGCGCTTGCCTATAAGGAGTGTCCCGGACAAACGAGGGCGGGCCGTCCAGCAGAACGGCGTGCGCAGTACCCAATAGGCTCACAAGGCGTGCGGATCCTTCCCCTCCCCCCGCGGCGGGACCAGTGGCTCCCCCTATCGGGTGGGGGCGGCGTGTGACGGGCGTGTCCCTCCCCCAATGAGAGGCGGGGGGAGGCGGGTTCTGTGCCGCCATGTCGCGGAGGCTGCTGCCCCGGGCGGAGAAGCGGCGTCGGCGGCTGGAGCAGAGGCAGCAGCCGGACGAGCAGCGGAGGCGGTCCGGAGCGATGGTGAAGATGGCGGCGGCGGGCGGCGGAGGCGGCGGTGGCCGCTACTACGGCGGCGGCAGTGAGGGCGGCCGAGCCCCTAAACGGCTCAAGACTGACAACGCCGGCGACCAGCACGGAGGCGGTGGCGGTGGCGGTGGAGGAGCCGGGGCGGCGGGCGGCGGCGGCGGGGTGAGGCCAGGGCCCTAGGCACTGGGAAGGCCGCGAAATGGGGGGGAAATTTCCCACCTTGAGGGCATTTATTTTTTGGGGGGGTTCTCTGCGCACGCGCCCAGGCCCTCGCGCCGTTGACGGGGTGGGGGAGGGGCGGTCGTTGGGCAAACGGCGGGGTTTGCGCGAGGACAGGCGCCTGCGCCTGCGCGCAAGCTGGAGCGGGCTTGAGGGGGTGCGGAGGAAGCCTCTCGCGCCACAAGCGGCGCACTGCGCAGGCGTCGCGGGCTGGCGTGTGGGGTCCGGGCACGCGGCCGGGCCGCTTTTTTTTTTTTCTTTATCATTTTCTTCTCTGGCCCCTTGCGCAGGCGTACTTCTCCCGCCAGACCTCGTGGGCGGTTGGGGGAGCGCTTCGTGAGCTGGAGCGGATGGGTGGTTTCTGGCCTCGTCCTCTCCTGAGTGAGGAATCCCGTCCGATAGCAGTTTAATCTTTGTGATGTCCAGCTTGGTTTCTGTACCGAAGTTAATTTATTTGAGGATATTTCCTTAGAACCGAGTATGACCCCCATTTGGGGGTTCATTGAAAACGGCAAGACAGATTTACTAAAGGCGCTTGTAGCCGTTTGGGAGTTTAGTCAAGTTTGGAGTCATCACAAGTTTGCTTACAATTTTCAGGGGTTAACTGGGTGCAGAGAGTTTGATAAATCAAAATATTCCCTGGCCGTCTTGGAAGAGATCACCAGTTGCTTTTGGGTTGAGGCCCAGTCTCTACTTCTCCAAGTTCTTAATGTCTCCATCAGGATTTTGTCTCCATCAGGATAATGTCTCCAGGATTTTCCACAGTGTATCACCTGTGGTTTAGTAGCATTTTAATCTTTACTACCTGTTGCAAATGTTCTAAAGACATCTTAGTTGTGTCCTTAACGCCCTTTTGTGAGGTTAGGGGACATATCACAATATCTGATTTATAGAGGAGGGAATGGGCAAAGAAGGATGAGGTAAATTAGGTTAGATCCTATAGCTAGTGAGGGGCAGGCCTGGGAAGGAATTTTAGCCTTGGGCTGGTAACCAGGCAGGTATTCCTCCTGTGGTTTGTGTGGTTCATTCCTGAAATAAAACCCAATTCTACCCCAGTTCCATGGGCTTCTGCCTAGTGATTCTGACAAGAGCCTGGGCCCAGAGCCCAGGAGAAGTGTCAGAAAAAGTTACTTTCTTCCTGATTCCCAGAAAGATAGCTATCCTGGGAAGGAGCTGCCTTGGTTCTTAATGCAATGGGTTGGAGTTTCTCTTCTTGAAAGAGCTTTCTGGCCCTGTTTTTCCTTAATCTGGCCTATCCAAAGTAGGTTTTGGTGCAAAAGTGATTAAAGACTAGAAAGGGTCAAGACTGATCTGGCTGCTACAGTTTCTGGGGCACATGCTGCTTTGCCCTGACTGGACCTGGAGTGGTAGGGAGCAGGCATGCTTGGCTAGGTGATGATGGCTCAACCAATGAAAGAGCAGAGAAGTTGGGTACATGTAAAGGGATATCCTCGTTCAGAGCACAACAGACAACTGTTCGAGCCCTTATTGCCAGCCTGTCCCTCCTTTCCAAACCACTCTTCCCATGTTTCTTTGAGGGGACCAGCAGGTGGAGAGACAGACAGGTCTTTGGAGGAGAGTAAGATTTGAGACTTGTATGATCCTTCCTCCATTCTGCCTTCCCAGAAGCTACAGCATGAGCCAGTGGGCAAGTGGCCACCCACTGAGGGCTGCTGCTTTGCTGGTCCAGGATCCTTTTAGGGTGATTGGCTTGAATTGCTGCCCCTGGTCTGACCTGTGCATCATTGTTTGGTGACACTCAACTATCTTACCTGACTAGGTATACAACAGCACAGAGGTCAGTGAGCGGGTTGCCATCTTGTACAGCAAGAAACGAAGTCTTGGTTCTGTTTCCTTTCTCAGGAGAACTACGATGACCCGCACAAAACCCCTGCCTCCCCAGTTGTCCACATCAGGGGCCTGATTGACGGTGTGGTGGAAGCTGACCTTGTGGAGGCCTTGCAGGAGTTTGGACCCATCAGGTACTGGGCTTAGGCCAGGAGTTGGGTTTCCAGAGAAGTTAACTCTTTGGTGTCCTCATGTGTCAGCAGTTTCTGGTTGAAAGTAGTGATTTTGCCATTCTGGTCCAGGGTTCTTTGGCTGGGGCTTGTGGCTCTGCTACTCTTGAAATGGCCATTGTACCTTGGGTCAGGTTACAGCAAGTTCCGTGTCTTCTTTTTCCCTTCCTTTCTCCTCTACCTTGTAGTTTCTAGGTAGAGAAACATTCTTTCAGTTGGAAAGTACCGACTGAGTGTCTGGTGCGTGCTAGGTATATTCGTTAGCAAAACTGTCGTCGATTCCTCCTCTTAAAAGTAATGCCCACCCAGAGTGATCTGCACTGTGATAGGGTCAGCCTGGGAGTCTGTGGGGGGCATCTTCTTAAGTCAGGTGAGGAGAGGTTGGGAAGGCTTCCCAGAGGAGGCGATGACTTAGCTGTATAGCTCTGTTGCCTGTGGTACCATTTGTAACAATAGGGTATTCAGATTAGGAAACCATGAGAGGGTTTAGGAGCAGCCAGTTCACAAAATATTGGAGGGCCTCCTCTTGTGTCCATCTCCTTGAGAGGATTGAACCTTGTGTTCCCTGCACCAGCTATGTGGTGGTGATGCCTAAGAAGAGACAAGCGCTGGTGGAGTTTGAAGATGTGTTGGGGGCTTGCAACGCCGTGAACTACGCAGCCGACAACCAGATCTACATTGCCGGTCACCCGGCCTTCGTCAACTACTCTACCAGCCAGAAGATCTCTCGCCCTGGGGACTCGGATGACTCCCGGAGCGTCAATAGTGTGCTTCTCTTTACCATCCTGAATCCGATCTACTCTATCACCACGGTGCGTGCAGCGAGTGTCCCTTGTGGTTCCTCTGTGAGGGCTTCCTGCTTCCTTTTCTCCCTGGCCTCCCCCAAGCCAGACTGACCTGCAGTGGCCCTTCATGTCGCCCATCTTTGCTCTTACAGGATGTTCTTTACACTATCTGTAATCCTTGTGGCCCTGTGCAGAGAATTGTCATTTTCCGAAAGAATGGAGTGCAGGCCATGGTGGAATATCCTTTGCTGGGAAATAGATGTTCTTGGGGTGGAGGCTGTCACAGGGCTTGGAGGGGGTGGGGCGCCATTCTTTTCAAGCAGCTTGTATTTATCTGCCACGCGCCAGATGCCTTTACAAAGTTCACAGTCTGATGGGAGAGGCAATTAATAAACAAGGAGGCAGACATAGTGTGATAGTGCAAATCTTAGGTGAAGGGAAAGAACGGCGTGCTATGAGATACGAGGGGAAAGGAATTTAAAAGGCGATCTAGGATGCTTTCTGAGGAGTTGCTGACCTATTTCTATGAGGAGGTAGGAGCCGGTGGTATTCAAGGCGGAGGAAGGGGTCCTGCAAAGGTCGTCAGGTGGGAAGGAGCTTGGCATGGGAGAAGCTGAAACACTTGACTGCAGAGTGATTGGCACATGAGGGGTTTGTTGCAGACATCTGGAAGTTTTCGGGGCATCTAGACATAGCATTGTGACACTGGGGCGTCACAATGAATCTACTGAAGTAGATTCCATGGGCCTCCAAGACAATAGGATCCTCTCTCCATTCCTCGCCACATGGGTTTTGTTTTTTAAGTCCTTTGGTTTGGGGAGGGCCTTCTTTTTTTTTTTTCTGTTTTGATATTTTTATTTTTTCTGCAGTCATCAGCTGCCAACATAATATGCACCAACTGGAGATCAGAAACAAACCAAAAAAAATAAAAAAAAACTTAAACCACAACAACAACAAGAAATTGCAGGAGGAAGCCACTTAGGACAAGGAAGGATGTAATCTGGTTGACATCTGAGATTGTTCAGGCTTATTTAGTCAAAGGGCATAAGAGAGGACTGGGACAAAGAAAAAGGTGGTTTGGCTTGGGGTGGTGGGAGAGGAAGTTGTTACTACTTCTGGGCTGGTGGCAGGGGTAGGGGTGCAGGTCACAAAAGAACTCTGGCCAGTAACTGCTCACCCAGGGCTGCAGTTGAGTCCATCTGCACAGTTCTGGTCTCTTCAACCTGAGGCTGGTGGCTGTGGGCAGTGAGCTGGTCCCAGAGCACTACAATCTTTGGGTGCTACCTTGTTTCCTTTCCTTTCTGGGACAACTTGAAGCCCTTCCCAAAGAGCTCCCGTGATGGGATTTCCTTAACTTGACTCACATTTGACTCTGTTCAAAGTGCCCAGCGGGCCAAGGCCTCACTCAATGGAGCTGACATCTATTCTGGCTGTTGCACTCTGAAGATTGAATATGCGAAGGTAGGTCTGGGAAGTGACTGCCCCTTGTCAGCTTCCAGATAAGTCGGGTCATGGCTGATCTCAAGTTTTGTCTTGTCCTTGCAGCCTACACGCTTGAATGTGTTCAAGAATGATCAGGATACTTGGGATTACACAAACCCCAACCTCAGTGGACAAGGTAATCCTGATGGCCACTTTGTTCTAAACACACCCGCCTTGCCTTCACTCGGATAGCGCACTTCATAGACCCGGGCTCAGGGTTATGTAATGCCATTGGGCTCCCTGTGGACATGGGAGGGTCTTGGGGTAAGCTCTTGGTAAGGACACCCCCTTGGGAGAAGGGGGGAGTAAGGGGCCTCTGCAGGTCCTAGTTGATGCCTGGGGCTCTCTACTGCTGGGGTGCAGAGTCAAGGCAGAGGCTTGGCGGGTGGGGAACAGGCCTCACTGAGGACAAGGTGTGGTGGATGGCTTAGAAACCGGTAGCACCTCCTTCTAGAGTCTGGTTAGGGTCACTGACTCTCCCTTCTCCCTGGGCCAAGAATTGTCCTCTTGCTCTGCACTGTTGAGAGTGTCTGATTTGCGGGGAGATGACAGAGTTGGGTTCTTGCAGCAGAGCCCTTGAGCAAGCTGACCTTGTGGAGGTGAGACTCTGGATCGGACCAGGGCATACATGCCTCACTTCATTTGTAGCGGGGACGCAACATCTCTGCAGGGGGCCCAAATGGACATCCCCCTTCTTAGTGTCCGTCAAGAATGGTTGCCGTTTGTAGGAGGGAGAGGTGGAGGATTCCCTGTGAAAAACAAACAGTGGCACCTCCTCAGCGAGACCGTCCCATCTCTGTGCCTGTCTTGGTCTGATACGTCGGACCAGGCCTTTGCTGAGGGAGGAAGTCTGGTTGCTGACATCGCTCAGGCTCTGGGAGGCCAGAGGCCACTTGCTAGGCAGGCCTGTCTTGCCCTTGCAGCTGGGAAGCAGTGGGCAGGGTGGGCTAGACTCTCCCCAGGACCCTCGCAGTGGGCCCTGTGGGCCTGGATGCTCCCTCCAAAGGTCAGAGGCAAATTGGTGACCAAGTGAATGTACCAGAGCGGGCAATGGCATTACATGACTGCTAACAGAAACATGGCAACCAACCATTTCTTCTCCAAGGAACATAAATAGAAGATGTGCAGACCGGCAGGGGCTAGTGGCAGGGGCTGGCTGTGCATTGGTTTTTGATGCCTCAGCTTTGGCCGCCCCCAGGGCTGGGGCCCAAAAAACAAGGGCTGATGAGGTAACCTGGAGTGAGGGCGGTGCTTGGCCACCCCCTCGGAAACCATACTTCAGCGGCTCTGCCTCTGCACATTGCTCACCAACACACAGGGTAGAAAACCACTAGCTCTTCCTGGAGAGAACAGAACATGCAGCCTCCACCACGTCCCCAGAAACAGCCGCAGACTTGAGCTCACTACATCAAGAACACCACACCGTGCTCCAAGGAACAGCTACAAGCACAGAGACAGAGGCAGACAGAGACAAAGAGAGAAAGAGACGCAACATGGCAGCAGACACTGCTTTTTTACTAAACATTAAAAAAAAAAAAGTCAAAATCCAAGCAAACTTGAACCCGAAAATGTACACAGAAGTAGGAAACACAGAGAACAGAGCTCTCCCAGCCAGCCAGCGGTGCTCTTTTCGGAGAACGTTTCATAGACTGAAGTAGATTCCATGGGCCTCCAAGACAATAGGATCCTCTCTCCATTCCTCGCCACATGGGTTTTGTTTTTTAAGTCCTTTGGTTTGGGGAGGGCCTTCTTTTTTTTTTCTGTTTTGATATTTTTATTTTTTCTGCAGTCATCAGCTGCCAACATAATCTGCACCAACTGGAGATCAGAAACAAACCAAAAAAAAAAAAACTTAAACCACAACAACAACAACAACAAAAAATCAAAAAACCAAAACAGACCTAAAACCAGACAGCCAAACAGCTCAGAGGCACACAGTTACCTGCTGGCGGGTAACCGGGCGCGCTCCCAAGGCCAAAAGCGCGAGCGTAGTGGGGCCACTGGCACACTCCATACCCAGGAGACACGCACACGGAGCGCCACACAGCCAGAAGCACCGCACTGCAGCACATAATGTGAGGAGGTGACAACACGGACACTACCCACTGCATACACCTTTATTTCCACTTTTCTGATATCTTCTGAGGACAGAACATCTGTGAGCCATTTTTGATTTAATGAAAACATTGACTTTTAAAACAATTCTTTAAAAAAAAAATTGTAGCGGATGTGTGCCGTAACTTGTATTTATGACTGTAAAACCATGTGATGCAGGGTCGCAGTGTATGTTTGATGGGACGCCATCTTTCAGAACTGTGCTAACTCACTGTTGAAGCGTCCAATGGTAAGAGAAAATACAGATTTGTTTTTTGTGACAAATGGACATTGTACTCTGTACTTCTGCTGTAAGTAGTCCTTTTCCATCTTTGTAATGACTGTTGAAAACAAAACCCAGACTGGGTGGCAGGAAAGGGCAGTGGTTTTGAGCCCTGGGTTTTGGAGTCAGCCAGACCTGGGTTCAAATCCCAGCTCAGCCACTAACTTGCTTTGTGACCTTGGGCCAAAGTGTCTTTTAACTGCTCAGTTAAAAGTTAATGACTCAGTTTTGGAAAATTATCTGTAAAATGGGGCTAAATATCATTACCTACCTCATAGGGTTGTTGTGAGGAATTCAAGAAGCTGTAATGTTTGTAAAGCCCTTAGCCCAGTGTCTGCCACTTAAGCGCTGAATTAATGTTAGTGACTGTGAACTGGAGCTGGGTCCGGGAGGTGGATCTGCGCCATTGATGGTCTGAGAATGTTGATGGCTTGTACATGATTGCTCTTTTGAACTGACTCTGCTGTTGCCCTGCTTGTCACCTCCTACAGCCCCTCTCCTCGGGCTGGACATGAATGGTTGGGGGGGGGACTGGGATTAGGAAGGACGGACCTAGAGAGTGGGGCCAAGAGCTCCTAGAACCTTGGGGCTTTGGGGGTCAGATTTTACCTTTCTGCCCTTGCTGGGTTATCTTCCTGCTCTCAGTCTCCTCTCCCTTCACTGGGAGTTACTTAGATAACAGCTCTTGGTCCCTGTAATGTGTCAGCTTCCATAGCAGCTGCAGGTTCCCCCGGAGTGCCCATGACCTGGGCTTCCCGCCAGGCCCAGGGCAGCTGAGAGAGCACAGAACCTGGCCTGATTCTTCTCAGAAAAAGGAGAGCAGCCCTCTTGATACAAGGAGGGGACAGAGGGTGGGCTCCACTTGGAGGATCAGGCTTCATGCCTACCTGGGATCAGGCCCCGAAAGAAGGCCCGAGTAGCCCTTGTAAGGGCGAGTTTGCAGCAAGGCTCCTGGGACTGAGATTAGCCTCTGTAGTCAGTGGGGAGAGAGAGACCCTTCTTGCTGAGATAGGCGCTAACTGTTTTCTCTGTCCACAGGTGACCCTGGCAGCAACCCCAACAAACGCCAGAGGCAGCCCCCTCTCCTGGGAGATCACCCCGCAGAATATGGTGAGGGCAGGGGGTTCCCCTCCGTGGACTCCCGTGGCTCATGTGCCCCTGCCCGCCGCCCGCCGCGCAAATTCTCACCCGTCCTCCCTCTCTTTCCTTCCCACCCCCCAGGAGGGCCCCACGGTGGGTACCACAGCCATTACCATGATGAGGGCTACGGGCCCCCCCCACCTCACTACGAAGGGAGAAGGATGGGTCCACCTGTGGGGGGTCACCGTCGGGGCCCAAGTCGCTACGGCCCCCAGTATGGGCACCCCCCACCCCCTCCCCCACCACCCGAGTATGGCCCTCACGCCGACAGCCCTGTGCTCATGGTCTATGGCTTGGATCAATCTAAGATGAACTGTGACCGAGTCTTCAATGTCTTCTGCTTGTATGGCAATGTGGAGAAGGTGAGCTTCTGCTGAGTCTACTGCTTTCCGTGTAGCCCTGGCAGGCCTGAGGGAGGCCCCGGGCCTCCTAGCTTGTTGGCTGGCAAAGGGGGAAGAGCCGGTGGGAGCCTGGCTTGGAGCACACCGACCTGAAGTGGGTGACTCAGTTAACCCAGGTGACCTACTACACAGGTTCTGATTGGTCGTCCCTGTATGTGGGTGTTTTGTTTTCTTTAAATTACCAATATTTTAAAAATCAGATTTTATCACATAAGAGTACTAATACTTAGCTAGTACATGAACATAGAAACTGTATTTTTAGACACAGTCTTGCTCTGTTGCTCGGGCTGTAGCACATTGGTGAGCTTATAGCTCAGCGAAGCCTAGAACTGAGCTCAAGCGATCCTCCTGTCTCAGCCTCCCAAGTAGCTGGCACTGCAGTCATGTGCCACCATCATACCTGGCTAATTTTTTTTTTTTTTTTTTTTGAGACTAGAGTCTTTGTTGCCCAGGCTAGAGTGAATGCTGTGACATCAGCCTAGCTCACAGCAACCTCAATCTCCTTGGCTCAAGCAATCCTCCTGCCTCAGCCTCCTGAGTGGTTGGAACTACAGGCATACGCCACCATGCCCGGCTATTTTTTATATATACATTAGTTGGCCAATTTGTTTCTATTTATAGTAGAGATGGGGTCTCACTCTTGCTCAGGCTGGTTTTGAACTCCTGACCTTGAGCAATCCGCCCGCCTCGGCCTTCCAGAGTGCTAGGATTACAGGCGTGAGCCACCGCGCCCGGCCTGATTTCTCATTTTGCACACTGTTTTCTGTTGTGCTTTGTTAAATGGCCCTCTCATGGCTTATGTCCCATAGTTAGAAACTCTGCTCTCCCTCAGATCGAGCACTTGCTGTGGGCTAGGCATGTTTTTCTGGTTGTAATGATTCCTGCTCACAAGTGAGGAAGTAGACCAGGACTCGTTTGCTTCTGACTAGCTTGGGAGGGGTGGGAGAAGGGCTGCTGGCAGCTGGGCAGTGGTGCTGACTCCAGCTGCTCTCCCTAAGGTGAAATTTATGAAAAGCAAACCGGGGGCCGCCATGGTGGAGATGGCTGATGGCTATGCTGTGGACCGGGCCATTACCCACCTCAACAACAACTTCATGTTCGGGCAGAAGCTGAATGTCTGGTAGGCGCTCGGGCTCCCCAGGCTAGGGAGGGTTGGAGGAGGGACTTGGGAGAGAAAGGAAGCCCGGGAGGGGGGCCCGCAGAGGAGCATGGTGAGGCCAAGGTGCTTGCTGAGGCAGGAATGGGGTGTGGCAGCAGTGTTCTGAGATATTCCTCTGAAGCTGTGGGAGGAAGTGGGTCAGCCTCACCTCCATGGTGGCTTGGTGCCCCATGAGGCACACAGCGCCATCAGCTGGGTGCATGGCCAGCCAGGCCTCTCTGCAAGGCTACCCAGACAGCAGAGGTCTTGGGCGGGGGCATGACTTTGGGTCTGACAAAGGGCCCCCCCTTCTTCCCTCCTACAGTGTCTCCAAGCAACCAGCCATCATGCCCGGTCAGTCATACGGGCTGGAAGACGGGTCTTGCAGTTACAAAGACTTCAGCGAATCAAGGAACAACAGGTTCTCCACCCCGGAGCAGGCAGCCAAGAACCGCATCCAGCACCCGAGCAACGTGCTGCACTTCTTCAACGCTCCGCTGGAGGTGACCGAGGAGAACTTCTTCGAGGTGGGTGCCGTAGCGCTTCTCGGGCACTTGGTTCCTCACCACTGTTACGTGATTAGGCTGTTCATTTTAGCCTCTCAGCAAATAGCTTTTGAGCTCCTGGTCTGACAGGCCCTGGACTAGGTGCTGGGGACACAGCAGAGACCAGGACAGACATGGATCCCTGTTCTAAGTCTGATGTGAGAACGGCACCAAACTTAGATCAGCAGTAGAGTTCACCATGCCGCATCTTTGCATTTATGGCAGACTGGGGCAGGCCCGGTGATGGGAAGCGAGTCTCAAAACGTCCACACTGTCAGGACCTCAGGGCATCTAGATGACATCAGAAGGCAGGGCTCTAAAGCTGGGTCAGAGGGAACTAGGGCAGCGGGAAGGGGAGGAGGCGCTCCGAGTGGACCTTGCACGAGAGGCGGCGCCTTCATTTTGGCAAACATTGACTCTGCTGACACACCCAACAGCTGCCGAAGATGGAAAATTAAAAAGCCGTTTCCCAGTCTTTGGCAACATAATAATTAAGAGTGGTGTTGCTAAATTTTTATTTCACGGGGACTATGGCATGTGATAAATCTAGAAAACCCTTTCTCCAGAAAATTCAAATACTTACTCATGCAGGGCCTAATCTGCTTGGATTGTTGTCTGTCTCCCAGTCCCCTTACTACCTATTTCTGTTGCAGATCTGTGACGAGCTGGGGGTGAAGCGGCCGTCTTCTGTGAAAGTATTCTCAGGCAAAAGTGAGTAAACTGCTCCTGCCTCCCCCCACTTCTTGGTTGTCGATGGGCGGCTGTGTAGTGCCTGCTCAGGTCAGCCTAAAATCTGCGGCATTCCCTTTACTTTGCACCCAGGTGAACGCAGCTCCTCCGGGCTGCTAGAGTGGGAATCCAAGAGCGATGCCCTTGAGACTTTGGGCTTCCTGAACCATTACCAGATGAAAAACCCAAGTGAGTATCTGTGTCCTGCATCACATGCCCCTGGTGACCTAATGAGTTGGCTGGCTTCATGCCAGAGCGTCCTTCCTGCCCTCGAGAGACAGGACCCCAGGGATTTTCTCACTGGCACAGACGGGCGGGAGCTGGTCCCCTGGAGAGCAGCCTAATGTTGCTCGTGGGAGGGTCAGCCTCACTGCCTGTGCCGCCCACTCTCCCGGCTTCGGAGTTGCTCAGGCTTGCCCTCCAGGGAGGTGGCACGCTCTCCATGTATCAGAGACTGGTTTAGGCAGTACCCGGGAAAGGGGCAATACTAACTGACAGGTAACATTACCCTTGTAGTTGAACTCCAGAAAATGGGAGGTGGGTGCAAAATGGGGGGAACTGGGTGGGGCAGCATCCCGGGAGAGGGCCCAGCCGAACTTCTCTCTTCTCTCTGTCTGCAGATGGTCCGTACCCTTACACTCTGAAGTTGTGTTTCTCCACCGCTCAGCACGCCTCCTAATTAGGTGCCTAGGAAGAATCTCATCTGAGCAGGAAAACGTTTCTCTTTCCTTTATGCTGATTTGTTTTTTCATCTTATTTTATTATTTTTTTTTTGGCAAAAGTTCTTGTATTCCTTTTTTTAATGTTAGGTTAGTAGAGGCTTAACCATAATGAAAACGCTGGAAGTCTGGAGGGGGAGGGAGAGGGAACTGATATCTCCCAAGATTAACCTTCACTTTTTAAAAATTACTGTACATGTGATTTTTTTTTCCTGTTCATACATTTGTGCTGCCCATGTACTCTTGGCACATTTCAATAAAATTGTTTGGAAAATAAACAGCACTTGCTGGGATTCCAGGGCGGGTCTGCTTCCCTCTCCCGCTCAGGTCGTCTGAAGAGGTCGGGGCAGGCCAGGGCACAACCCCAGGCCCTCGGGAGGCACAGGGAACCCTGAGAGTGGCTGGGCGGGCCACAGAATGGTGGTAGGAATGAGGGAGTCCTGAGGAGGATCCAGCAGGCCTAGTGGCATTCGCAGTGGCTGCCTGAGCAAGTTCTGTCTCATTGGAACCACTTGCCTAGCACAGGTGTGGCCCAATGGGCGGCTCCATGAGAGTATCATTTGAGACCAGCCTGGACAATACTGTGAAACCCCATCTCAATAAAACATGGTGTAGAAAAAATTTTAAGCTTCAAGGCCTCAAAAATGGGCCTGATCCTTCAAAGTGTGTGCCTGCCTTTTTATGGGTTGGAACATAAAACTTCAGAAAGAAAAGTGAAAGTCCCTTTACGCAATAGTTAACAATTTTTGGTGATTTTTTTCATAAATGAAGTCCTCAGGTCTGTATATGTGTTTTTTTGTTTTTTGTTTTTGTTTTTTTTGAGACAGTCTCGCTTGTTGACCAGGCTAGAGTGAGTGTCAGCCTAGCTCACAGCAACCTCAATCTCCTGGGCTCAAGCAATCCTTCTGCCTCAGCCTCCCGAGTAGCTGGGACTACAGCATGCGCCACCATGCCCAGCTAATTTTTTTATATATATATATTAGTTGGCCAATTAATTTCTTTCTATTTATAGTAGAGATGGGGTCTCACTCTTGCTCAGGCTGGTTTTGAACTCCTAACCTTGAGCAATCCACCCGCCTTGGCCTCCCAGAGAGCTAGGATTACAGGTATGAGCCACTGCACCTGGCCTCTGGTTAATGTTTTAAATAATATTTTTGTAGATATGAGATCTGGCCATGTTGCCTAGGCTTTGTTTTGAACTCCTGGCCTTAAGTGATTTAGCCTCCCAAAGTGCTGGGATTAGGATTACAGGCTTGAGCCACTGCCTAGCCTTTCCCCAACCCTTCTGTTTTTTTCTCAGAAACATTTAATTAGAGACTTAAGATACCTTATCTTGTGCGGTGACAAGACAGCCTGGTAGATCCCTGCACCATTGTCCCATGGGTCTGGGGCTTATATGCCCCAGAGAAGGAATGTGTAGGACAATTGAAGTTCACCCCTCAGGGAAAGGCAAGAATGCTCTTAGGAAGTGGATAAAAGTTTACCCAGTATTGTTAAAGCCCATTAGTGTAAGGATTTTTTCTGGCAACACTGGGCTTTTTGCCTTCCCTGTGGAACAGTTGGCTGGGGCTGAGTGCTGGCTGACTGTCCATCTGAGACCAGGTGGTTTTTGCCTACATCAAATCTACCCAGGTCTTAGAAGCATTTTTGCAGCCCCTGGCATGACCTGTTGTTGATTGTAGCAGCTAGTGCATGCGAAGTGTGTTTCCTGTATATCAGGCACTGTTAAAGGGGCTTTGCGGATAGTAACTTGTATGATTTTCACAGTATTCCTTGATGAGATAGTCCTTAATAATCATTAGTGAGATAGTACAAGGAGAGGGACTGTAGCAGCCAACAAACGGCAAGAGTGGAGTTGAAGTAGATGGGGAAATGGAGGACGGGTTAAGTAACTGGCACGGGCTCAGTAACCTTGTGTGGAGGCCGTGCTCAGAGCCAGTGTGTCGCTGTGCTCTGTTGTGCTTTCCTGCAGGAATCCACATCAAGAAGTTTTTCCATTGTGACCACAGACAGCATTCATCCGGAGATACATATGTCTGTGTGTAACAGATAGCATGAAAATGGCTGATTTCTCTTTTTTTTTTTTTTTGAGACAGAGTCTCGCTTTGTTGCCTAGGCTAGAGTGAGTGCCGTGGCGTCTCTTGCTCAGGCTGGTTTCGAACTCCTGACCTCGAGCAATCCGCCCGCCTCAGCCTCCCAGAGTGCTAGGATTACAGGCGTGAGCCACCGCCCCTGGCTTGTATATGTGTTTTTGTTTGTTTGTTTGTTTGTTTTTTAGAGCAAACCTTTGTGCCAGGCACCATAGCTTGCACTATGGGAGGCCGAGATGGGAGGACTGATTGAGGCTTGGAGACCAGCCTGGGTGACATTGTGAGACCTTGTGTCTACTTACAAAATTCAGCCGGGTGTGGTGGTGTGCACATGGACTCCAAGCCACTCAGGAGGCTGAGGCAGGAGGATAAGTTGAGCCTGGAGAGTTCAAGTTGTTGATTGCAACACTGCAATCCATCCTGGGCAACAGAGTGAGACCCTGTCTATAAATGATAAGATCCATTGTGTTGTGTATCATAACATACAGAGTGACCTCTTGGATAGTAGCAGTTGTGTGTGTCAATGTAAAATAACCCAAACTCTGTAAAATAATTTAAATGTATTCTGAGCCAAGTTTGAGGACCATGGCCCAGAGCCACACCCAAGAAGCCTTGAACAAGTGGGCCTGCTGTCCTTGGGTTACAGTTTAGTTTTATACATTTCAAGGACATAAGAGTTACATGTAGTCAATTACATGCAAATCTACATAGAAGGCATACATTGGTTTGGCCTGAAAAGGTGGGACATCTCAAAGCCAGGGGCCTTATAGGTTATAGGTAGGTTTAAATTTGTAATTGGTTAAAGAAATGAAGCTTTGTCTAAAGGCTCAGAATGTTCTGGGAGCGGTGGCTCACACCTGTAATATTACCACTCTGGGAGGCTGAGGCAGAAGGATTGCTCCAAGTCAGGAGTTTGAAACCAGCCTGAGCAAGAGCGAAACCCCGTCTATTATAAATAGAAAAAAGTTAATTGGCCAACTTATATATAGAAAAAATTAGCCGGGCATGGTGGCGCAGGCCTGTAGTCCCAGCTACTCGAGAGGCTGAGGCAGAAGGATTGCTTGAGCCCAGGAGTTTGAGGTTGCTGTGAGCTAGGCTGGCGCCACGGCACTCACTCTAGCCTGGGCAACAAAGGGAGACCCTGTGTCAAAATAAATAAAGGCTTAGAATGTTTTAAGGTAAGGATGTCTAAAACAGACAAACGACTAGACATATACCCAGACTCATGATCTGTTCAGTAAACCGATGACCTGGTTGGGTGTGTTTAAACTTTGTCGAAAACATCAAGAAGGGTAGGGGGGAGTGTCTGACCTCCTGTCTCATGGCGAGCAACTCAGCTTTGGGGTATTTCTTGGGTCCCCTTGGCCAAGGGGGAAATCAGTCAGCTGGGCGGTTTAATATTTTAGTTTGCATGTAGATATGTCATAATTTACTTGGTCCCAGTGATAATATCCAGGTCTGTTTGCTACTGCAAACACTACTGCAATGCATATTTTTATACAAATATCTTTACCTGATAAACTTCCCTGATAATAATCTGGAGGTAAATTGACAGTGCAATTGCTGGGTTAAAGGATATTTACAAAGTAAATATAATTGCAATGTGATGGATACTCCCCACTTGTAGGTGTGCACATGTGAATATAGTTGGCAATGGGCTACAATCTGGAAGCATCCTGGTTTAGAGACTGACTGACTGGAGGAAAGAGGTGGCCTGCGCAGGAGCAGGTCATAAATATGCTACCTTGGAGTTTACAAATGTGTGCTTGAGAAAGAACCCATGTTTTTAATTTACTGGGGAGAAGCCTTTAAACTAACATTGTTAACAGCTACTGAAGTCACATGGCATCATTTATCACATGAACAAACTTTGCTTCTCCAGGGAAAGTTTGAAACAACTTTTGGACAAGGAGACAGTTAGAGCTGTCTTGTAGCCATATACTTCTAAATCAACTAGAGTTTGTTTGTTTGAGACAGAGTCTCACTCTTGCCCAGGCTAGTGCTGTGGTGTCAACCTAGCTCACAGCAACCTCAAATTCCTGGGCTCAAGTGATCCTTCTGCCTCAGCCTCCTGAATACCTGGGACTACAGGCATGCGTCACCATGCCCGGCTGATTTTTATATTATTTTTAGTTGGCCAATTAATTTCTTTCTATTTTTATGGTAGAGACGGGGTCTCGCTCAGGCTGGTTTTGAACTCCTGACCTTGAGCAATCCGCCCGCCTCAGCCTCCCAGAGTGCTAGAGTTACAGGCGTGAGCCACTGTCTGGTTTCCAACTCCTGACTTTGAGCGATCCGCCTGCCTTGGCCTCCCAGAGTGCTAGGATTACAGGCATGAGCCACCATGCCCTGCCTTTTAGAGTTTGTTTTTAAGGGGATGAAAAGTGGATTTTACCAGTCTCCTAGCACCCAGTTTCATTCCCTGTTAGCAGTTTGTCTCCTTCCATGGATATACATAGACCATATTCTGTGCATATATAGCCATGTACAACTAACACCAAAGGATAATACTAATTTTTTTTCTCACATTTGGTATCTTTGCATAGGGGTTTCAGAGTTTTCCATTGCATAGATAATTAGTCTTCTGTTAGGAATAGTTGCTGGTGTCTAGTCTGAAAACCCCTTTAGACATGTTCATTAAGAAGCAAAGATACTCCCTACGCTCCCACTGGCCCAGAGGCATCTGTTTGCAGCCTTGGTGAATGTCTCCCTAAGGAGCATACTTAAGCAGTACTTTTTTTTTTTTTTTTTTTTTGAGACAGAGTCTCGCTTTCTTGCCTAGGCTAGAGTGAGTGCCGTGGCGTCAGCTTAGCTCACAGCAACCTCAAACTCCTGGGCTCAAGCGATCCTCCTGCCTCAGCCTCCCAAGTAGCTGGGACTACAGGCATGCGCCACCATGCCCGGCTGATTTTTATATTATATATATTAGTTGGCCAATTAATTTCTTTCTATTTTTATGGTAGAGACGGGGTCTCGCTCAGGCTGGTTTTGAACTCCTGACCTTGAGCAATCCGCCCGCCTCGGCCTCCCAGAGTGCTAGGATTACAGGCGTGAGCCACCGCGCCCGGCCTTAAGCAGTACTTTTTATGCCCTTGGGCAACTGGCTTTTTCCTTGGGGTTTTATTTTTATAAAGAACGTGTATTTTGGAGCCATGTGATCCTGCTTCAGCACTCCTGAAGCCCAGCAACC